GATCCCTCATGCAGGGCCTTACCCTCTCTGGGGAATGGAGTGGAGATTGGGTGGGGGGCTGGGGGGGGGCCGGTGGGGCCGGTGGGGGGGAGTGGGCTTGGAGGGGAGAGAGAGGGAGCTGGGACTGACATGGGAAGCAAGCTTGTTCCTAATTTAAATATATAATAAAAAAGTGTAATAAAAATAAATAAATTTAGAGCAGAAAAAAAAAAAAAGGTAGAGACAGAAGGACTCTTGCTGGCCAGCCTGTCTAGTCTAACTTGTGAGCACCAGGCCTACAAGAGACCCTGTCTCAAAGGAGGCAGAAGGGGTGCCTGACGAATGACAGCTGAGGTTGTCCTCTGACCGCCACAGGACCTGCACATGTACATAAAAAAGGCAGAGGGGACACCGCCAAACCTCTTCTGTGCTGACCCTAACTAAATGCTATTTGTGGGTGGGGAGCCATTCTTATTGCTGGGGTGATCTCTGACATAGCCTACCCTGCTATCTTAAGACCATGTATAGCTCCAAGTGCCTAGGCCTGGTCCAAAGGCCCCAGTATCCCCAGCAATAGGAATCCCCATGGTTTGCACTGAAAGGGTATGTTCACTGTGAAAACATACCCAGGTAGGATTGCCAAGGGTGGGGTCCTGGGCTTTGGCTATAGGGGTGTGGCCAAGGACCGGTGTCACATCTGATCTCCAACTGAGACACCCTACCCTACCCCACACCTCCAGTGCTCCCAGGAGAACTACAGCAAGCATTAAGCCTGAGCCATTGGAGTCCTCTGCTCCGAGCTGGAGCCCCAAGGCTTTGGAAACTGCATCAACATGGGGAGGAGGTGGTGCCTATCGGGAGAGGACAGACTTTGCCCCACGGGGCTCTGACCCGGGCAAGGTGCCAGCATCTGATTGGCACTTACAGCTCTAACGATGTGACACTCGGCCTGTTACTCATGTCATTTCCTTGAAGGGACCATGCCCTTCCTGAGGAACACAAGCCACTCTCTCTAGAAGGCTGCAGTGAAGGATCTGGCTGTGAGCGTTAGCCGAGGGAGGGAGGAAAGGGAAAGGCTGGCAGTGGCATCTGCTCCTTTGTCACTGCACTATAGATGAATGTAGTCACGTGACTCACTGCCCAGTGGGATATGAATGAAGTGATACTTCTGGAACCAAACATTTAAGACCCAGGGCATGAACCTCTTACTCTTTCTTTCTGCCAGGGTTACCTGGGGGTGGCAGGACTCCAAAGGGAATTCAGCTGGACCCTCAAACCCCCAAGGAAGCAAGTTGGGGATATTTGGATCGTTAACCCTAGTGTGGGAAGCCACTGAGGGTTTAATATTGTGTTGCGGCCTATAAAATCCTAACACAAGAGATGATGGGGAAAAGTTCAAGCCATATCCCGGAAGCCACACTGAAGAGCACAGCGAGGCTGGCACTAAGGCATTGGCAGGAAGTGACAGGGACACACTTAGCTGGGCCAGGGTCGGGGTGTGTGGGTGGAGGGAATGGCCTCAAATTGGCCACAGTCAGGCCTCTAGAAAGTCACTCTTTAACAGTGTTCTCTCTTATGAAGGTGCATAAGGCCTGGAGTTGTGTTATGAAGGACACATGGCCTCAGCCCTCTGGTGTCCTAGTCTAGGGAGTCTTGACGTGTAAATGAGCAGGGACACCGGGACGGGAACCATCATGCAGGGGTGAGGGGAAGTCTGGGGGGCTAGGAGGATGAACGTGCCCTGTGAGAGGATGTCACAGGGAGGTGGCCTTCCCAGGGCAAGGGACCCGTAAGGTAGAGAAAGCATGAGCTGGGTGCCAGGCAGAGGGAAAGCAAAGAGGAATGAAGGGTTAAGACAGATGGGGACAGGTGGGGGACACTGAGCCCAGGACAGAGGCTAGCCAGAGAGCTGGATTGAGAGACTGGGGACGGTGTTGGGGACAGAGCTAGAGGGGCCGTAGTGTCTCTCTTGTCTTGAGGGCAGGTAGGAAATGAGCTCAGGCTGACCTCCTTTGTCTAGCTCTTGCCTCCAGATGGGAGGGAAGGGAGCTAGTGGGTTTCTGTCTGAGGGTTCATTCATCTCTGCACATGCCCAGGGATCCTAAGCCAGAGACAGCTTTCTTCTAATACGATGGTCTTTACTTGGGCACACGGTGCCTTCTAGATAAAATTGGAAGTTTGATGGTCACCATAGACCACCTCTAGTCACTGGCAACTCAGTAGTTGAGGGGAGGAGTCCCAGATATCCTTCACTGCATTATGTGACCCCAAACCGCAAAGCCTTGTACACACCAATGCCAACACCCAGGAGCCCCCACAGGCAACTGCTCTAGGTACCTCCAGCTGTGTGGTGCTCTGAGGGATGTTAAGAGCTCTCAGAACAGCTGCCCCCTCAACACCCACTTCTCTGGGACCTGGAATTCTTGTGCTAGAGAGCTGTGTCAGCATCATCCCTGGGAAATGCAAAGCCCCCATGCAGTGGCTAAGTCACGGGCAGAATCAGCTGGAGTTGGAGGTTTCCGACCACTGCCGCACATGGGAATTTCCTCGAGTGTTTTAGAACTATGGACTCCTCTGTATAACCCTGCAGCCCTGCAGCTGAGCGGGCCTTCCCATGGTGCACCAGGGTTGGTCTGTGTAACCAGCACATGGTGTAGGGAAGGTCTGACACTTCTGGTCCTCCCACTCCTTTTATAGTTGTCTTTTAAGAATTTATTTGTCTTTCTGTATGTGCATGTGGCGTGTGTGTGTGTGTGTGTGTGTGTGTGTGTGTGTGTGTGTGTGTGTGTGTGTGCATGTGTGTGTGTACACAGGCAACAGCCCGGATGGTGCAGGTAAGAGGACAACTTTGTGCAGGTTCCAGGGATTGAACTCAGGTCAACCAGCTTGGACAGCAAGTTTGCTCACCCACCACACCACTTTGCCAGCCCATCCCTTACTTGCTTTGGCACTAATGTGCTGTGAACCATGACCTACAATCCAAGTGTGGCAGCGCACATCTGTAATCTAGAACTCAGAGGGCTATGGCAGAAGGGTCACTGCGAGCTTAAAGTCAACCCGGGCTATACAGAGAGACCCCACCAAAACAAACAACAGAAACAGACTGTAATGGTTCTAGCAACAGGAGTAGTGGGGAAGGACATGGAGCATCTATTGGAGTTAAGTCTCATGCTAAAACACACAAGGCACAGAAGGCAGCAGAGACAGACCCATGGCAAGATCTAAAAATGAAAAAACGCACCAGAGGGGATTAGCAGTTAGATACTACAGAAAAGATGAGTGAGCTTGAAGATACGACTGCAGAAGTTACCCCAAATAAAAAGAAAGAGGGGAAAAGACCTTGAAAAAACGAGCAGATTTTGGCATGGGGAATGAGAAGGGCCGACAGACAGTTGGAAGATGGTGGGGGCGGGGAGGATATGCACTGACGAGGTTCCAAATATGGAGGCTGGGCTGTGGCTGCTTAGTCAAGTGTCTGCTACACAAACATGGGAACCAGTGTGCAACTTCCAGGATCTATGTCAAAGCCCTGTGTGGTGCAGCATCGTAAGTACCAGAGCTGGGAGGAAGAGGCTGGAGGACCCTGGGGCTTGCTGACCAGCCTGTTTAACTGCACTGTCAAGCTCCAGGCTGGTCTATGTACTGGTTAGCTTTTTATCAACGTGGCAAGAGCTCAGGTCATTTGGGGAAAAAAAAGGAACCTCAATTAAGGAATTACCTCCATCAGACTGACCTGTGGGCAACTCTGTGGGGCATTTTCTTGACTGGTGATTGATGGGGGTGGGCAGCCCATTGTGGGTGGGGCCATCCCTGGAGTCGTGCTCCTGGGTTCTCTAAGAAAGCAGGCTGAGAAAGCCATGGAGAGCAAGCCAGGAAGCAGAACTTCTCCACGGCTCTTGCGTCACTTCATACTTTTAGGTTCCTGCTCCAACTTCTTTCAAAATGGATGGTTAAGTTATACACTGAAACAAACCCGTTCCTTCCTGAGCTGCTTTTGGCCATGATGTTTACACAGCAACAGAAGGAAAACTGTAACAGTCTCACAGAATAAACTAGATAGCAACTGAGGGACGGTAGAGAGCAACAGGGTCTTCGTCTACCCTGTGTGCCCATACACATATGAACACACACACACACATACACACACACACACACACACACACACACACACACACACACACACACACTTCCAAACATGACAAAACCACAACTGAGGGACGGTAGAGAGCAACAGGGCCTTTGTCTACCCTGTGTGCCCATACACATATGAACACACACACACACACACACACACTTCCAAACATGACAAAACCACAAACTCCAGATCTTAGAAGCTCAGTAAACCCAGAGAAGGGGGAGGAAAAGCCCCTGGCAGCCCACTCTCGCTCAAGTGCTGGGGCTGTCCTGTGGACTTCCCTGCCTCTCTCAGTGACAGGTTCAAGGCAGGACAGAGAGGACAAGGATAGGCAAGTGTGAAGAGTGAAGGTCAAACAGTGAGATTCAGGGGTGAGAAGAGCAGGTGGCAGGCCACCACCCTCCAGTCCCTTTCAGGGGGATTATGGTTCTAAGCACCCATCTCTGGAACAGCCAGGTCCCTACCATTTCCTCTGGAGTCTCTAGACCTCAGCTCACTCAGCCTTGGAGCTTGGACCCATTCTGGCAAAGAAACCAAGTCAAGGACAGAGTCAGCGAGCGCAGCAGGCACCGGAGGCTGGCAGGACAAAAGCCACATTGGACAACCTGTACATCTGCTGCCCACATGAGCGTGCTGCAGAACGCTCGCCCTCTCGTCAGGCCAAGGAACAAACTTCCAAGCTGGGGTGGTGGCCAGCATGAGTCACCTTCATCAAGGGACAGAGGCCTGTCCTTAAGGCGTCACCAAGGTGGGCTGCCACAAACACTGTCCGTGGGACAGCTGGTCCGAGGTGAGTCCCACCTGTGCCTATTTCCCTTCGCTGCGCCACCAGCTGGGGCAAGGGCCCAGCAGGAGTGCCCCGGCAGAAAAAAGACTGAGGACCTACCTGCCAGGTTGGGAGGACCTTCTCAATGTCATTCAGGTTGATGCCATCCCCGTCTTCCAGCTTCCCTTTTCCACACCTAGACCACAAAAGACAGAAAGGCATTGGAAGGACAGTTTAGCCACAGCGGTACCTTTGCCTGGCTGCAGGAGAGGAGGGCCCATCAGGAGAGGAGGGCCCGTCAGGAGAGGAGGGCCCATCAGGAGAGGCATGGCTCTGCCGTCCCTCAGAGTCCCACCCAAGGAAAGGGCCCCAGAGGTGGATTCCTCTAATCTTCAAGCAACTTGCATCTGAAGAGAGGTGAGAGATGAGCCCACTGATATCCCCCCTTTCCAGGCATAGCAGCTAAGCTCCTGACTAATGAATACCCCCATGCCCTCACAATTCCTGAAAATGCCAGTTCCTTTGGCCCCAATGCACCAAAGATCAGTGAACAGAGAGACCAAGCAACTATCTCAAGGTCACACAGGTAGGTAGGAGTTGGCAGAAGCCCCAACATAGTTTCTTTCCCTTTGTTTGTTTCCAGGCCTGTAATACCAGCCACGCGCCTATATTGTGCCTTCTGTATTCAGGGCCTCTGTGGATGGGTGTGCCTGCAGGCTGGAGATACTGGCCCAAAGTTCTAACTTTTTGTAAAGGCACATCTTCTAGTGCCAAACTGCAAGGGTGTGAACTCCAGTCCCTTTTTGAGGGACTCAGTGCAAATCATTTAACTTTCCTATACAACTATTTCTTCATTTGGAAAAGGGATCATAGCAGTGCCTAAGACCATAACATGGCTAGTGGATTAAAATGATAACTCCATAAGGCACAGGATAAGTATATGCCTACTGCCACAGTCACTTCTCCTGTTACTATGCCTCTGTGGGGCAGAGAAGCAGGTAGAAAGAAGAACAGTTCAGAGCTAGATTCAGAGGCTGTCCAGCCTCGGGCACCTTTCTCATTCCTGAGCCTCCAGCTTCAGAGTTAATGCAACTCAAATTCCAGAGGAGTTTTCTCATTTGTTGAAATATTTGCCTAGCATTGCTTCTGGTTTCCTGCCAAGGGAAATAATCCAGCTGTGGTTCCGGACAGGTAACTTAGGGCTCTTGCAAGACTAAATTGGAAACTCACCTCCTATGGTTGTGAGCCTGAACTCCACTAGGGGGCAGCAGAACACAAGTGTCCCAAAAGTGGCCGGAAAAGCTCTGGGACCTAGACAGAAAATCTGGCAGGGCAAACTAGCAAAGGCTTGGGTGAAAGAAAACAGGGATCAGAAATTGGTTTCCATTAGACTCTTATTTTCCTCATTAGGGAGTCTAGCCTGGCACCCGGGTTCAACAAGTAGGAAGCTAGCTCCACGGAACTGTGGCCAAGGCAGGGTGCAGAGCCCATGGGCAGAGGGAGGAGGATGGTTTGACAGAATAGGGAGGGGGGAGTCCCAGGACAGTGAGTGGGAGGCAAGGTAAAGCCAGGAGTTCAAATCCACTCTGCTGAAAGCTGGGCTTCGGGCTGCATTTTGCTGGAGAGCAAGGTAAGTGTCGAGGGGGAGAGGTGCTTCTGGAGGAGAGCCTGGGGTGGTTTAGGCTTGGGCAGGTGGAGTAGAGCAGAGGGGGCATGGGGAGGTGACAGGCAGAAGGTGAGAAAAGGAAGCACACCCTGCTACCACACCCACTAGGAAGTGCTGGGCCACAGTGGGGAGGCAGAGAGGCCTGGACCATGAAGCCATCCTTGGGCTAATCAATCTGCCTGACGGTGATGGGCTGGCCCCGTGAAAGCACCCACTGTGTGCCGAGGTCTGTGAAAGCACCCACTGTGTGGCATGAACAGATGTTGAAAAAGGCGCTGGGGAACTGGCACTCCTGGAATGGCTGGCACCACCCTCCAAGATCTCACTGGGCAAAACACTCCTTGTAACTGGACTCTTTAGGTGGAGTTGATTCCACTGAACAAGTGTGGGCGTGGCCTTTGCCTCTCACCTTAGCGGTCTGAGGTCAGCAGTGGGCAGCACACATGGGCCAGCTCTGACCCCTAGCCTGCCTGGTCAGGGTCAAACTTCCTACGAACCTGCAGGTGTGGCAGGCAGATGGTGGCTGCAGAGCAGCTTGAGTCACTGCTGCCAGTGGGGTTGCCAAGGCAACAGCCCGCTCCAGTTCTGTCCGTCTATGGAAACACAAGCTGTGGGAAGCCTTGGCAACCTGTTTCTGAGGGAGGTTGCAGTGGTTGGACACGTGGAGCCCATCCATCTTCACATGGCAAGATGCAGGGAGGACAGGGTTCCTATCCTAGCCATAAGGTGGACACAGGACACTGGCCATTAATCCCGAATGGCAGGATGGGTACCCAACCCTAGAAAGCTGAGCCGAGTGAAGGAAGTAGGATCCACAGCTGGTGAGTGGGGATGGCTTGGTCCTCTGGCATTCGACAGGACAGTGATGCTGGGCACGGAACAATCTCCCCTGTGCAGCCATTAGTCACTTCCTCCGAGCAACCTGCTTGTGACGGAAGCAGACTCACCCATTCCCCACTTAGTCTAAGGTGTCACTATCACCTAGATTTCCCAAGACTTAGTTTTCCCACGGCTGTCACAAGACATGCTCCCAGGGGACACAGGAGGGACTGGGGCTACCTAGGAAATATCGCTGAAGCACTCCTTAGGTCCTCCAGAATGACCCGTTCCACCTCGTATTTTACTTAACCCTTTCTGAACCCCATTTCTCTTGCTTCTAAAATGGATGAGACCATCACCCCTCCAAGGCTCAGCACCCAACAGGGAGACCTGTGCCACTAAGAGGAATGGCCTCTACAGATGGGAAGGGGCAGAGTGGCTGCCGGGGGACACATGGCAATACAGTAAGACATCCCATAATCTCAGCTATTTTAAGGGTGAGGGTAACTTTGAGACAGGAACCAGCAGTAGGAACTGCAGGAAAAACAATGAAAATTATAAAATACAAATGACCCCCAAGTTGGGTGGTGGTGGTGCATGCCTTTAATCCCAGCATTTGGGAGGCAGAGGCAGGAGGATCTCTGTGAGTTCAAGGCCAGTCTGGTCTGTATAGAGCTAGTTTCAGGACAACTAAGGCTGTTACACAGAGAAATCCTGTCTCAAAACACAAAACAAACAAACAAACAACAACAAAAGAACAAAAGATTGAGCATGGGAAGAATCAGAACTCTTTTATGCTCCCAGTGGGAATATAAAATATTCAGCATCTTTGGGAACACTTCACAGTTCTTAAACACATTACACACAGTTCCCGTATGACTGAGCAAGCCCACAAGCAGGGACTCAAACAGATGTATGTACATGATGGAATGTCCCAAGCTGTGTTTTTCATAGAAGCCCAAAGCAAAGAACCCTAATATCCATCAATGAGTGAATGGGTAAACAAATAGTGAAATGGCTGGTGCCGTGAGCCACTATTCAGCTACAAAAAGGGCTGGACCATGGATGTTCACAGACAAACCTTGCAAATATTGAAAGGCAATAACAGGAGAGGACACGAAGGATGCCATTTCTACAATACCCAGAAAAAACAAACTCACAGAAACTGAAAGCGGGGACTAGGGGTGGGACCGGACAGGAAGTTGTGACTACAAGGGATCACCTTACACTGGGGGGAAAAGAAGACAGACAATGATCGCAGAACATTGTAAACAAGCTCAATGCCGCTGGACTGCATGGTTTAAAGCGGCTGATTTTTATCCCACACGAATTTTATCTCTATGAAAATTACTTTTAAAAAAACAGAAAAGAAGCAATGGCTACTTGTCTCACACCTATGCCTGGTACCACACAAGTGTCCTGAGGGCAGCCCAGGCACTGAGACCACCTATTAAAAGCAAGGCAATACTGGTTCCTGGAGCCAACAAGAGCGAGACAGGACAGGATGAAGGCTATCCTGAGACCAGCTCCCAGAGTGGGACTTCTGTACCGGCAGGGGGCATCAGCACCTCCCTGGGAGCTTGCGTGAAGTGCAAATCTCCGACCTACTGGATGTGTCTACCTATTTGATACTGCAGAGAGACAAAGTCGTCTATACGGTGGGAACATGAGAGTCTTGAAATCAATTTACGGAAAAAAATCACAGCACAGCTCATAATGTTCTAAGGAAGTTTACAGTTTTGACTTGAGCCTCCAGTCATAGCTAGCCTTGGCTTGCCTGCATGCAACTGCAGCTGCCCACTGATCACAGGTTGGACATGGCTGGAACGAAAGGAACCCCAGACCTACTGAATGTGAGACTCTAGGTGGGTCCTTTTCTGATTTTCAAGTCAGTCTCCCGGATGCTCCAGTTGGAGACCCACCAGCTACTTGATAAGAGACACTCAGTGTCACACAGGAGCGGGCATACGGGCTGCTGGGGAGAACGGAGGGATTCTCTAGAAAAGCCAGTGAACCTGCAGTCCTGAGGCAGAGAGAGCGCCTGGGACATGGAGTCACACCATTTCCCCTGTACAGTGGAACAAAGCCCTGCCCCTACACCTCACTCCTCTCCCTGTGCGAGGTACTCCGTGGTGTCCTTACCCCTCTCTGTCGATGTGTGGCATGGGCTGCTTGGGTGTGTGGCGGACCTTCCGATGGAACTGGGTGAAGTCCAGCTTTTCAGGCTGCAGGTCCCAGGTGGCACCGCTAGAGGGCGAGAGAGGGCGACAAACAAAAGGCAGGAGGTAAGAAGCCTTCTTAACGCAGGAGTCACAGCGGGTGGGGAGGGGAGGGCACCCACAGCTGAGGGCAGGGGCCTGTTCAGACCCATTTGGAATGGAACTCAAGGAGTCTTCAGTTCTGCCGTGGGAAAATGCATGCTCCCCAACATGAATGTGGGGCTGGCTGCCCACTCTGCAGGGGTCCCCACAACAAGCCAGTTTGTTTTATGCCTATATTTAAGAAGAGCTGGAGAGAGAAGGAGGACAAAAACCTGCCATCAGAATACAAAATGATGCTCTGAGTGAGCAGAGGTGGGGAGGTAGGGGCCAGTTCTCCAGTTCCTATCCCAAGAGTTCCGGCATGCCGGAGAGTCCGTATCTAGACCAGGCATACCTGCAGTGTGCCCACAGTTGGGCAGCGATGATAAAGCCAAGAGTGACAAGTACCACAACCGGGTACGCCTCTTGTCCTGAGGAGTCCTGGCTAATGCCAAGCACCATCAGGAACCATCAGCCCTCCTCCTGTGTGTGTTGCTAAGAGGCAAACCTCATATGTGCCTTGTAGACACTGTACCACTGAGCTGCAGAGAGCCCAGCATGCCCTTTTCTGTAGGCTGGCATGTGTGAAGGGTGGAGCCTACCACTCACCCCCCCCCCTAACAGCCATGTGCCCCTTCCTTCCTTGCTCCCACCTTCCCAAGTCACTCCCCTGCTCTCTCCCTCCCCTTCAGCCTTCCTGGCTTCCTTCGCCCTTTCCATTCTTGGATGCTCTCTCCCTTGATTTCCCCCTTGAGCCTCTGCTAGCGGCCCTCCTTCCCCTCCAGCCTTGTCTCTCTGTTTCCCTACTGAACCTGCCCATACATAAGCCCTGATGCGGCAGGAGGCATAGACCAGCACCGGACACCGCAGAGAAAGGAGGAAGTTACCTGAAGGAGTCAAAGGTGTTGGCGGCCCAGATATCTGTGCCCAGCACGTCTAGGGAGCTGTCTTTGCTGCCATTCTGAAAGACACAAGGTGAGGGGCTGGCCTTACATCTGGGGTCAGGACACTGAAAACAGTTTGGATAGAGGTCCACCATAGTCCAAACACGAGAGGGCCGCAGGACCCTCTTTGACACCTAATGCCGGCAGCCTGCATGGGCGGAGGCTGGAGTGGGTCACCTAAGGGAGTGTCCCAGCAGGAGCATCAGGAGGGCCAGGGGACCGCAGAGACTGCAGGCTTCCTCCCACGCACAACTCTGAGATGGTGTTTCACAGAGGTGTGCAGTCTGGACCCATGCCTGCATCTCTGCTGCTGAAGCCCGTGGTCCCTTCTCAATGCCTCAGTGCCTAGCAGGCACTCTATGTGACTGTATGAGCCTTCACCACCATGCTTGCCTGTGACAATGGTTTCTCCTTGCCCATGGGATCTGAAACACCAGGCTGGCTGAAGCACCCACGCAGGAGTGGACTTGTAAACATGTAAGCCTTGCCGATTGAGAAGCCCCACAGACCAAGGCTGCCCCAGTGACTGCATTTCTTATAATCATCACTGCAGGCTGCATCCTTGGAGGCTTCCTACATGACTCACTGTAGACAGAAAATGCCTATGATTTGGTCACTGCCCTCTGGGTGCTGATCACCCCCAACAAACCCTCCATCAGTCCCCCCAACCTTGCCTAGTGCTCACAATCAGACAAGTCAGAGACACAGAGGCTCATCCCTAGGTGTAAACTAGTGTTTACAACAGATGTGTACGGATGTCCCTAGATACAGCCACACAAGAATACAATAGTGTTGAGCTGGGAGCCACCCACAGGCCTGCCAACAGCTGACCACACACAACAGCTGTTATGTTCACAGATTGGAGTATTACACAGCGGTGAGAATAAACAAATGAAAACATCACATGACTGTACAAATAAACCCCATAAACAGTGTGGAAAAAGGAATGCAGACACAAAAGAGTACTGGTTACACGGTGTGATTTACATAGTTTTAGGACAAGCAAAACTAAGCTGTGGCTACAGAACTCAAAATGGGAGGGGACACCAAAGAAACTGACCAAATGCCCTGCTTGATCTGGGTGTTTTGTTTGTGACACATTGCTTTTCTTTAGGTGTGCTATGACCTCTTGCTTAGCTACCTGGTGCTGTCCTAGCCTTCATTTTCGGGTCCTCTCTGCAGGACCAATCAACTGATTATCCATGAAGACTAGAACATCCCAGGGCCCACCATTACTCAGAGCCACCAGCTCTCCGGAAAAGGGGTGTGCTCCATGCGTACCTAGGCGGCTACTGACATAACACAGGGAGGAAGAGGAGCCATGAGCCCGGCCCTCAGAGCTGGTGTGTGATACTCATTCTCATTTACAATGCGGCATGACCTGGGCTCTGATTTGGGCACCGCAGGAGCACCAAAGCAAAGGCACTGTCACTACGCTGTGACTAATGCCTTGTGCTGTGACAAAACAATGGCTATGATGTTGCTAGGTAACAAGAAATTTTTTCACTACAATCTTATAGGCCCAGTGTGGTGCATGCTGTCTACTGCCGGTTGAAACTTCACTATGCAGTCCATGATTGTATATGCAAGCATACTACACACAAGGTACACATAGATACCACACACATGACACATTTATATACCATGCACACCGTATTTATATACCAATACACCATATATTTACGCATCACATTCAACACACACACACACACACACACACACACACACACACACACACACACACACACACACATATATATGTTTAGCACCAAGGACAGCGCCCAAGTGCTGGTGGGAAAGGACCAGACATGTTCAATCCCTTGGCAACAGAGGTTCATTTGAGGCTGGAGAAGGGCAGTGCAGAGAATAGAGCTGAGTTCAGGGGAAGGAACATCTACTCATATCACTTGGGGGCTTCCTGTCTGTCTGCCCATCTCTCCATGCTCCTTTTACACTCAAATTAAAACCACAGACAGGGCAGGGGGAGATGGAGACACACTGAAGCCATCTCTGCCACCTGGGCATGTGACTGAGGTGGGTTGTGCTATGTGTGTCTGCCCAAGGCTGAGCCACGTCGCAGGCCATTCTTGGTGGGCTACCTGACGGGTCTCTACTGCAGGGCCCCACAATTGTCCCTGGTTCCTTAGTACAGAAAGGCTCCCAGCAGAGGGTGGGGGATAAAACCTGCACCCCAACACCATTCCACCCTCCAAGATGCCATCTTGAATAATAGGGAGGCCTTCCTTAACAACTCCACCATCGTCCACGTCTCTCCTGGTGGAACCAAACATGGAGGGCTGGGTAAGAAAGGGAGATCACAGGGCTGGGGACTACTTAGAGCAGGCGTGCAGACCATAGATGGGTGCCACGCATCTTCTCCCCACCTTGAGAATTTCCACTTGCCTTGATCATTCTGAAATAATAATATCTCACTGTGGGTTTAGTTTGCATTTCCCCAATGGCTGGCAATGCCGAAACACCACGGATTTTGAAGAAACAGGGTTCTATAATTTTAAAAGGTAAGCTGTGTTTAAACAGCTGTTTGAACTTGTAAGAAATAGATATTGGTGTGGAGTTGTAAGAAATAATACAAACAGACTTCAGATTCCACAGGGAAACTCATAAAAGTATAACTCGATGTTACCTTCAAGATACTGACACTGATACAGTCAGGGCACACGGCATTTCCATTACAATGAGGCTCCTTCTATGGCCCCCTTTTCTGACCAGAGGGGGAGTTCCTGTCCTTGCCCCTACTCCCTCTCCACCAGCTAGCAATAACTACCCGCTCTGCATGTCCCCAGGACAGAAAGGGAACCATGGATTAAGCAGCTTTAGGGAGCTGAACTTTTCCCACACAGCATCATCTGAAGATTCTCCCGGGTGGTGGTGTGGCCACAGGCTGCTCCTTCCCACTGGCAAGCACATCTAACCAGGCGTCCACTGAAGAACAGCTGGGTTTGTGTCCTAGTGAGGGCTACTATCGCTGCAATGAAACATCATGACCAAAAGCAAGTCGGGGAGGAGAGGGTTTACTTGGCTTACACTTCCACATCGCAGTGCACCATCAAGGGAAGTCGGGACAGGAACTTACACAGGGCGGGAACCTGGAGGCAGGAGCTGATGCAGAGGCCATGGAGGGTGTTGCTTACTGGCTTGCTCCTCACTACTTGCTCAGCCTGCTTTCCTACAGAACCCAGGACCACCAGCCCAGGGTTGACCCCACCCACAATGGGCTGGACCCTCCCCATCATTCACTAATTAAGAAAATACCTTCCAAATGAGGTTCCCTCCTTCCAGATGACCTAGTGTGTTGTGTGTCAAGTTGACATCAGATCAGCCAGCACGGGGTGACTGCGGTTTCCCACTCAGAGGCAGCTGCTATAAACTTGAGGGCAGGTTTCATGGGAACATAGGCTTTCATTTTTTCTGGGACAAATACCCAGGAGTATGCGTGCTGGATCACACCACTCTCCAAGGTTTCGTTTGCTTTCTTTTAAGGAAATTGACAAATGCGTGGAATGATTGTGTTTTATATCCCTCACCAGATCTATAGCCCCTCTCCCCTGCCGCATGTGCACCAGCATTCGAAGCTGTTAGAGCGCAGGGATGTCTCGTGGGTTGGTTCGCATTTCTTTGAGGACCAGTGGTGGGGAGAATCGTCTGTGTGCTCAGTTCCTGTCTGCAGTTCCCTGATGGAAATGTCTCTTCATATGCTCCTCATGGGATAATTAATGAGTTTTGAGAGTCCCTTCTACATGCCAGAACATCTTTGTCAGATTTGGACTTTGTACATCCTCTCCCTGCCTGTGACTCGTCCCTTCATCCTTTTTATATGGTCTTCCCAGGGCCCAAGCCTAATGTTGATGAGGGCTGACTTAGCATCTCGGGATTGGCATTAATCACTGGTCTTTGTCACTGCTTAGAATCTTCTGATTCTTGCTATGATAAATGGCTTCTGATGGAAACTAGGACACTTTCCTGTTACGAGACTGAATTCTACTTCAATCTTCATGTCAGCTAGCTGGCTGAGATGCCACTTCTGCCAGGGAAAGAGGTCAATGGGTGGGAAACCAAGCATCCAAGCAAAAGGATGCCCTAACTGTGACAAAAGGGAAGTCTCCAGGAATGAGGGTGCTTAGCTTTCAAAGTCCAGGCAAACAGCTCATAGCCAAACAGACGGTACACACAGACTGCAGCAAAAATCACCAATGCAAGATCCTCTGAGCTCCTTTTTCCACGTGATGATGGGTAAAAATGACAACTACCAAGCCAGGTATATTAGTCCACACCAGTAATCCCAGTGCTCAGGAGGAGGAGGCAGGAAGATCATGAGTTCTAGACCAGCCTGGGTTATATAGCGATACCCTAACTCAGAAAAAGGCAACTGCACCATCCAGCTGGGTTCCAGTGGGTTGTTAGAAGTTACTAAGGTTTGGGATTGCTTGTTACACAGCATCATCTTGGCTGTACTGACTGGCACAAGGCACTGACTTCAGTATAGAACAACAGAGAAAATTACATAATTTATACAAGTACATGAAGAAGGACAGGAGTGGGCAGGAGTTCCAACATCTCAGCTCAGCAGACACTTCGACATTCATCATTTCAGCCCCTCTAGCTGGTACTACCCAGCATGAGCCATCAATGCCAGCTGTGCTTGTACCTACCACCCCAGTGCCCTAGTACAATGTCCAACTTCTTTTTGCTAATCTTTCTTCTATCTTTTTTCCTTTCTATCTGCTCAAGCATTCTACCTGTTCCCAAAGGATGGGGTCAGTTCTCATGTTCTTCCCAGAGACCAACAGGGCCACTCAGAATGACTGTAGTTCCTGGGTCACATCTCTTGTGCATGCGGGGGGGGGGGGTACTTTAGGTACATGCCTTGAATTCACTTTGGGTTACTGAATTGTCACTCTACAAGCAGGCAATGACACAGAAGACTCCAGCTGCTGTGTGCTGGTCAAGTATACAATGTTGCTCAGTAAGTACCAACTTTGGAAAGAGCAGTGGCACA